AATAATCAAGAAGATAATAAATTAGAATGTACGTACTACGATATTATAACAAAGTTTTACTATTAAAAACAAACTTTATCATAGGGTAACAATCATTGCTATAAAACATGTAAGATCTATGGCTTATTTCAAAGTAACAACCTCTTAGAATGACTTCTCCGAGTGCTGATCTTAGCTATATAGAGCATTTTGGAAGACGTTAGTTCGAAAGATTAAACTAAAGCCTTCATTAACTAACAGAACTTTTAAAACAGTTACACAAGAAAACTGTAGAAAACTAGTTGAAACTATACCTTGCAGAATAGCATCAGTTATTTAGGCATAGGGAGATGCTATATCGTGTTACGATACTAATCACTAGGACCCTTTCTAAGACATTCTCAAATAATTGGGGCCGGAAAGCTTTTGTTTGTTTATAGTTAAATCACAAAGCAACACAATAGGCTATCTATTTGTGCCCACCACAGGGGGGGGGGGGCAGCAGGATAGCAACTGTTTATTACTATAAGAGTTAATTAAGCTAGAAAAATGTATATAGAAGTGATAATTGCCGTCACAAGTCTGAGTGGTTTTAATGAAATAAAGTGTAATAAAACAGAATTCGCTATACATTATAGTTGCGAGCTTTCTGGTATTTATTATTTTTATGTGTGAATTTTAGGTAGAGATAGATTTTATTGTAATTTCATGATCATACGTATGTGAAAAACTTCCTTAAAAGTTTGTTCGTTGTGACATGACTAGATAAACATATTTGACTTCAGAGGTATGGGAAGCCAAACAAGGTCTTTGAGATCACAAAATGTGCGGGGTCATACCAGCAAGAATGAAATCAAGGATAAGAAGCTTTACATGAATTTACCATGATTTATGAGAACTGGTAATTATCTGCTCTGTTTCATAATCCTTTCAGATTTACTCCGATAGGTTTATTCTCAATGTACAGAATTACTTGAAACTAATACGTTTCAATCTGTCGTCGACAAAAATGTTTTAGAAGTGCAGTCATCATGATTGTTCAGAAAAAAATAGCTGTGCTCGAATTTCAATTTCTCTTCGCTCTAGGGTGCATTTTCTTAAATCTGTTTGTTCGACAGTTCTGCATTTGTGTGCATCGTTGTAGATGAATCTTGTTGTTTAGTTTTCCACGTCATAGAGCTTAATGAATTTTACTGGTACAAAGTCTTCTTTGAAACCAACCTACACAGACAGACCTTTTAAGAGCCGAGTATGCGTGGAAAGCTAACATCCCCGTAGGAGAAAGACGTTACTGAAATATAATTAAAGCCAATGAAATTACCACTTCGCTGGCATTAGCTCCCAAGGGTATCTGTAATGAATGAAAGGCATATTTACCCAGGGTTGTGAAGCGGTGAGATTAGTTTATTTCTCTACGTCTCTGTAGGATACAATGTATCGCGCTGAAATAAATAGTAACAGCGGACTAGAATATACTGTAGGGAATAATAATTAGCTAAGAAACTGAAATTTAAAAGGTAAACACCGCAGCTTTCTCCACTGTTGAAGCAACACATGTAAGTTCAGAATTATAATGTGTCATATAAGTTGTAAGTGCGGAATTATAAGAAACATTAATATTATAGTTATAATTCATGGGCTATTAAATTAGATAAACATATACAATATTTCTCTCTTCAATATGTTCCTCGTGCGAATTTTAAGTTAACAAGCATTAGTTAAAAATGATCGAGGAGAGCGTAGGCTTTTTAAAAGTTTGTAAATGAAGAGTGAAATACAGCCACATAAAAGTGTAGTAGTATATGCTGCTCATGCAATAGGTTTACTAACTGTATGTGTGACCAAACCTACAACCAAGAATATAAAATAAAACACAGACGTTTGCAGAATACGGTTATTTATAATAATTCATGATAGTATATAGGCATGGTAATTAGAATTCATAAATTTACCTTACTAATAACTTATAGTGGGTTAATCCTTTAGAGTGAGAGAAGTCAGAGGTTCGAACCTCCCACAGGGAAATAAAAAAATAATCGTACAAAAAAACTGTCGCCCAAATAGTCTGGCTTTATTTTTAATAAATATTAATGAGTTAGCTAGC